ATGTTTGCTATGGCTACTGGCATGAGTGCTTTCCCTCTGCAACCCCAACTTCTGGGCTAGCAGAACTCAAGGTCATAGGACAGGAATCAAAACTGTCCCTAGTGGGCTACTAGGGGTGATATTGAGTGGAACTACTCCATTTTCCACCTTTCTGTCAAGGCAGCTGCTTCAGAATGGTGGCAAACATGGTAAGACCAGTAGATTCCATGATCATGGGCCCACTGTCACACTTCTCTGGCTGTGAAGTGGGTTCCTTGGTCAGCGGCAATACTGTGTGGAATACTATGTCGGTGGATCAGGCATTCTGTAAGCTCATGGATGAAGTGTTGTCTTCTCCATCCTTACTGGAGTAGATAATTATTCTGGTTATGGATTTGCCTTTCCTGTACATAATGCTTCTGCCAAAACTATCCCTCTTTTCAAGTCCCTGACCATCCATCAAATCCATTGGTTACAGCCAATGTGTCAGTGAATATTGCACAGCTGGTCATTTTCCTTCCAAATAAAATGTATGAACATATGAACTGCCCAAAGTTCTGCCCACTGTGAGGATTTCCCTTCATCAGTGTTGTCCCAAAATGGGGTTGCAATGCTGCGACTGTGCATTTCTGAGTGATGCCTACATAAAGTGCAAAACCATCAGTAAACAAGGCCATAGCCTTCTTTCCTCACTAAACTGATGGCATGACATAGCCCATGAAGCTATGGGTGCATGCTTGGGTGCAGTCAGCATGGTGATGGGAGTAAAAACCATAGGTATTTGATTAACCCTTTAATGTAACTTGCTTTTATCCTCAGGACCTGCTTGGCCCAGATTATATATATACCACTTCCTTTAATAATGGATTTCAGTTGTGTATATTCTACTTTATGACTTGGTGGGTCAGATAACACCCAGCTCATGATGAGAAGTCAAGCTGCATAGTAACTTTGTAGCCCATTGTCAAAACACACAGTTTCCACTATGGCTCAACAACAGGCCAAGGGCTGTCTCTCAGAGGGAGAATAGTTGTCTACAGATGGTAGAGCCCTACTCCAAAAGGCTCCAAGCAGCATCCCTATCTGTCTTCGACACTTCAAGTACCATCAGGCCAGATATTTCAAATGGTCCAAGTGGTAGAACAGCCTGCACAGCAGCCTGGACCTGTTGAAGAGCCTTCTCCTGTTCCAGGCTCCACTCAAAGGTAGGAGCTTTCGAAACCACTTGGTATATGGGTGGGAGAAACACACCCAAGTGGGCAATGTGCTGTCTCCAGAATACAAATAGGTCTACTAAATGTGCTTCTTTCTTGGTTGTGGGAGGGGCCAAACACAATAACTTAACCTTCACCTAAGAAGGAATATCTTTGCATGCCCCATACCATTGGATTCCTAAAAATTTCACTGAGGTAAAAGGCCCTCACTCTACAGATCAGGGAACCAATGTGAGGATTCTGCCAGCTTCTAAATATATATCTATCCTAATTATACATTCTGAAGCCAGGCACCTGACTACAGGATGAATTGGGGGACCTTGTGGGCCTACTATGAGCTGTATTTGGGCTAAAACTCCATTGATCACTGACCTCTGTAAGCCCCTACTTTAACAGGAAGTCCACAACATTTCTTGGGATCTCCCAGAATCAGCATCAATTCAGAGCCAGTATCCAATAGACCATGGGAAGTCTGATTGTTTCCTTTCTCCCAATAGACAGTTACCCTTGGGAAAGGCTGTAGATCCCTCTGGGGAATGACTGGAGAAAAGTTAACAGTAAAACTCTTATGTGCTTCACCAAGGTCCTTCCTCAGGAGAACCTGACTGTCCCTTCATTCAAGGGGTTCTGGGTCTACAAACTGACTCAAGACTGGTTCATAAGCTGAAATTCTCTTTTGCCATGATTCAGTGTAACTTTTTATTTGTTTGAGAATTTTCCCCCTTATACAGTAGGCATTTTATCTAGTTCATTCCTAGAAACACCATATTGATTAGCCACTATCCAAGGTCCATATAAGTCATGCCACCATAAAAATCCTTTTAGCTGTGTTGCCCATTATGGCTTAGGCCATTATAAACATTGTTTTGGCTATAATGGCTCTCATTACGATAATATGATCACCTTGCCTTTGATAATCCAGTGCTGCCACCTGGCCCCTGCTACTTGGGGGCCCCGGTTAAGCTCACGGCAATTAATTCATCCAACTGAGCAGTAGCATCTCCAACCCCAAGGTCTGACACATGGGAAAGGACAACAAAGCTCTTCAAATGTGCTAGTGCCCCCTCGCCATTTTGTTGCCTTACAGGGCCAGTGAAGGGAATGTCTTCAGGGTTTTCACTGTGAAGGATTCGGTTTTACATAGCACACTCACTGGAGCACAGCTTTTCCCTGATCCTAAGATCCCTTCACCAACACTAAGCCCAGGGACAGCAGGCATCTCCAGCTCCTTTCCAGTCAGTCATCATTTGACAAATGCTTCGGTTAACCATTCCTTTGATGAGCTTCCCTACTAAAAATAAAACCTCCACTCTGTGGGTTCACATCAGTAAACTTAGCCTTATCCAGTTTTATGTTTCTTCCACCATTACCCCACACCCCTAAAATCCATGACCACACATATTCCCCGGACTTGTGCTTGAACAAAGTAGCAAACTCATTAAGCCCTTTAGCAGCGTACGTGGTACATCTTCTTAAGGTCTACACTTTCTATCTCTCCTCTAGGAGCCTGCTTGACCTTGTCTGGCTACAGGTCTAGAGGCAACTACTGGTGGCCCCGAGGGACATAATCATTGTCTTGCCTGCCATCTCCTTCAGAGAAAGTCACTGATGATTTAGCAGACAATGAAGGATTAATTTCCCGTCAAAGGTGAAAAGGGCAGTATTTCAGGGGCTAGATATGTGAGTGCATCGTATACTGAGAGTGGAGAGATTCCCTCCTAACATAAGATAAACCCTTGAGAATCTGAGCGTTCAATGTTCTCTGCTCCAAGAGGGTCCTCCCACACATCTCCACCCCAAAGTTACAGGATCCCATTCTTCACAAATTAATGCCTTTAACCACCAACACCCTCCAGCTCGACACTCTCCAAAGCTGTGGCTTGATTTTCACTGCTACACAGTCAGCCTTATAATGAGGGATTTGGTTTGATTTTCCACAACTTGCCCTCCATGGCTGCTGTCGAGAAGATTCCTTCCCAGGGAACACTTAGAAATCTTTAGGCTGTTTATGTTCATTCAGGACCGGTCAGTTTTATCATCAAGTTCATTGTTGTCCTTCCCGGTATCCCACAATGCTAGGTGATAGTTAATTTTATCATGGAGCTCATTCTTTTCCGTTGTCAGTTTGTCCAGCGATGATAAGAGCAAACCAGACAAGCATCATCGTTTTCCTTACTTTTCCACAAATTGTCAGAAGGGTTATATACAGAGTCACCAGATCTGTTATTTCTCACAGTTGGTGAATCAGGATACTTAAATGTATTTATCTCCTTAAGTTTGTAAAATAGTTTGCACCATGGGCCTTTTCTATTTTCTGAGCTTCTAGGAGAGGATTCGGTAACTGTAGGTGTCAGCATGTTGGCAAATTGGAAAGGCTATTCCACATACTTAAAAATTCACCCTTATACATCTTTTGCTCTAGAACCACTCTGGCATCAAAATCTGTATCAGTCAGGGCTCTCTAGAGAAATAAAATGTGTGTGTGTGTGTGTGTGTGTAGAGAGAGAGAGAGAGAGAGAGAGAGAGAGAGAGAGAGAGAGAGAGAGAGAGAGAGAGAGAGAGAAATATATATTTATGGCTTTATGGCTTTATGGCTTGCAAGTCTAGCTAGTCCAACAATGGCTGTCTACCAATGGGAAAAAGTCCAAGAATCCAGTATTCAGTCCATAAGGCTGAATGTCTCAGCTGGTCTTCAGTACATGCCAGAGTCCTGAAGAAGTAGGCTATAATACCAGTGAAGGAATGGAAAACTTTTCATTCTTCATTCTGCCCTTTATATAGGCTGCCAGAAGAAGGCGTGTCCCAGGTTAAAGGTGGACTGTCCCACCTCAAAAGATCTTGATTGCCATGGGGCTTCCCACTTCAAGCGATTTAATTAAGAAACAAAAATCCCTCACAGGTGTAGCCAGCTGTGGCTTTGGGCTATTTACATATGTAGTCAAGCTGACCACGAAGAATAGCCGTCATACTACCTCTACCTCCAAAGAGCCTCATGAGTAGTCACCATGCTTCCTATACTATGCAAGCCTGGCCTGCTTTCTGTTCCCTCAGATGTTTAATACCCAGGGTTTCTGTCAGCATCATGTTTGCCTCCTCCACATGTTACTGGCTGCTCCTCACACACCCACTATAGGGGAATGCCACTCTTCTGAGGACACCACTGCTACCACCATGTAAATCTGGTTTCTAGACTGTTCCCAATCACCTCTGCTTTCTCCCTTTGTATCACAGGCCACAAATGGGGGTGCTATGCTTACCTGTGTCTTTGCTTACTGTGTCCCCATAAAATGGGAATAGGGCTGAATTTGTCCCCTATTAACTTCCTACCCTCAGAACTGTATCTGGACAGGAGAGAATGCTCAGTGAATCTATAGAGCCAGTCAGTCCTTTGACAAAAAGTCTCTGTGCCTCAGTTTCTTGGCTTGTAAAACCAGTGCTGCCTCCGGGCAGGTGTCACAAGGCAGAAGCCGGCAGGACTCACAAGGCTGGCCTTTCTTCTCCTTGGTTCCCAAGTTAAATAAATGACATTTTCGTCCCTATGACTAACCCTGAGTGATGAAGAATTGTTAACCATTAGCCACCAGGGAGGAAGCGTTTCCAACGCCTGGCTTTCTTTTCTTGGACCTGACTCGTCTACAAACCTTGACCTCATCTGTGAGGCCCTGAAATCTAGGCTCTAGAACTTGGGTTTGGACATGTTCCAAGACTTTCTCTTACTGACTATGTTATTTTGAGATTACTGTTTTGCAAATTTTAGACCTTGGAGGCTGCTTGTGAGTATAAAAATAAGACGTCAAAACAGTTTACCTATGATGTTCACCGTACTATCCACTTCATTTTTTATAGCTGAAGTCAGGACCGCATACTCAGGAGAAAGGTCACTTACTCCATTACTAAGCCCCAAAGATGACTCAACTGGTTCTTGCTAGGAAGAAGAAAAGAAAAAAGAATTGAGAACACTTCCTTTTCCTCCCTTTTCTTAGCTTCCATTCTCCCCGTCTAATTTGTTGGATCCTGGGGTCAGTCATTCACATCATGTCCCAAATGCATCTCCTGCCTCTCTAAATTAGCCTGCCATTAAAGAAGTTGGCTATTCGGTTCCTTTCATCTGCCTTCAAGGAAATGTTCTCAGCACATCTGGCTCGCCTTCAGGAAATACCTGCAGCTGCAGAGGGGAGCTCTGGGCTTGAGCAGAGCTGCAGCATTGTCACGCAAGTCCCCTGCTGCATGGGTCCCGAGGCTTCCTGCTCTGAGGGAGGACACAGGGACCAACTTTCAGAGGGAGAAGTGGCATCCCTGCTTTTGCAGTCACTCTTAGGACGATCTCTGCCTCCATGATTAGCCAGTGACAGGAGCCCAGTGGAAGGTGGAACACTCTGGGGTGGGGCACAGCCTCTCAAGCACACTGCTCTGGTGGTCTGACGATAACCTGGGCCACTACCTCAGCTGAAGCCTCCCCTCTCTGGCCCATCGCCAGACAGGCAACCCCACCTCCACAACTGGACACAAATGCCCTTGTGCCTAAACCTCCCACCCGGTCCAAGAAGGTACACAGTGACAGACTAAAGTAGAATGCTCTCCTTCCTTGTGTGAACCCTGCATCTCTTCTTCACTCAAGCGCACTTGAGCCTGAGAGGACCAACTCCCTGAGAGGACCAACCCATCAAGGAAAACCAGTCCTGAGGTACACATGACTCTTGGAACTTTGAGGAGAACCCTTCCTTCCAGGAAGGCTACATTCGTCTCAGTGATAGCAATAAGACCCAGAAAGTCACATAAGACAACTCCTGAGGGATCCAAACTGGAGGAGGAGGAGGAGGGGGCCAGGGCTGCAAGCAGAGGGGGCCTGTGGGAGTGGTGAGGCCGGGGCTACTTGGCATTCTAAGGGATATGAGGCACTGGGGAATCAAGATCAAACTCCATGCAGTCTCCATGCTCCTCTGGCAAACTCCCATGACTATTATGGCTTTAAAGGCATTGCCTTGATGTCCAACTCAGCTTGAGAAAAGCTAAACAAAAGAAAACAACAACAACAAAAAACTCACAGTAAGGTTTACCAGCCTTACCAAAAGTCAGATATATCTGGAAGGGCCCAGGGCCAGCCCTTTCTCCCTCAGCATCTTGTATTTTCTCCTCGTTAATACGTTCCAATAACAGGCTTGCCATTTCATGGAGGGGGGGCTTACCAGCTTTTTTCTTTTATAGCCAAACATCTGAACAAATACCCGCCTGTGCTAACTCTCCCTCCTCCCAGCACACCCTTGAAAAGGCCCACAGTCCCGGCTAGCCTCCTGAGAAGAGGTCTGTGGAGTCAGGCTCTGTCTGACTCTCCCTAGTCTGCAGGATCAGTTTGACCCTGTAATCCCTGGTTAAGGTACTGCAGACATCTGTGGGCCGAGAACAGTAATGGGCACCATGCCAAGGGGTGAGGTGAAGCTTGAAGGACATGAGGAGGGACGACGCATTTATTACCCAGTCACACTTGCAACCAACAAAGGTCACCAATAAAACTTCTTACCAAATCCACTGGCCCTTTCTCAAGTCCCTTCTCCTTAGCTCCATCTTCTGGCACCCAAGCGAGAGGGAGGCCATTGCCTGGTGTGTGTGTGTGTGTGTGTGTGTGTGTGTGTGTGTGTGTGTGTGTGTGTGTGCGTGCGCGCGCGTGTGTTTGAGACAGGGTTTCTCTGGCTGTCCTGGAACTCTCTCCTTGAACTCAGAGATCCACCCGCCTCTGCCTCCTGAGTGCTGGGGTTGAGTGTCGCGCTGTGCCTCCCTTCTCCACAGCCTGAATCCTGAGACTCTGCTGTGGTACCCACCTCCCCGTGGCACCATCCTTTCTCCGTGGATCTCTCCATGGCCCCTGTTACATTTTCTCCTCCCTAATCATGTCCCACATTCTACTATGCAACTTCATTTCCTCAGTCCCTCCCCAGGGAAGTAAGTACGGATCTCTAAAGAAAGGACAGGAAGAGCTGCTTCACTGTGATCTTCTTTCACTTCCCTTTTAAAAAAATCATCCTATTTCTAGATTTCTTATCAAAGTAATAAAACAGTCAGGTTTGCATTATTCAAAAAGTTGAATTATTCTGACTTTGCAGCAGAGACCTCTAAGTGTTTCATGTGATCTACGGTGTAACTGGCGGCTAGTGATACTTTTGTCACTTCTTGCAAGAGAAAATTATGACTCACTAAATTAATTTCCGAGATCATGCTCCATTTAGCCTGGTGAGAGGCAGGAGCTGGGCTAAGCCTTTGCCTGTGCAGCAAGTTCAAATGCAGGAGTCTTCTGTTCCTATCCCAATGGAAGCCCAGATGGGCTAGGGGGGAATAGAGACGGATGGGGTGGACCCCTGCCTCCCTCTACCTACCTGGCGTGCTGCCCGAGGCAGAACTGTCAACCAATGGCTACAGAGAGATGATTTGGAATTTGCCTTACTCCACCTACCACCACTCTGGGCAAACTCTCATTGCTATTGCCACTCGAGAGGACAAGACTGTCACACGTACCGCATAATGTGCTGTACATCTCCCTGAAGAGTCTCCTCTGAGGTGTGGAACAAATGATTCCAAGAGAGAAGCTTCTTCAAGACTCAGTCAAAAGTTTTGAAATAGCCGGGCAGTGGTGGCACACGCCTTTAATCCCAACACTAGGGAGGCAGAGGCAGGCAGATCTCTGTGAGTTCGAAAACATCCTGGTCCACAAGAGCTAGTTCCAGGACAGCCTCCAAAGCCACAGAGAAACACTGTCTCCAAAAACCAAAACACAAACAAACAAACAAAAAGTTTAGAAATAATTAGAAATGGGGATATCAAAAGCTAAACTGGGTCAGCAAGATGGCTCAGCGGATGAAGGCATTTGCTGCCAAGCCAGATGACCTGAGTTCAATCCCTGAGACCGCATGGTGGTAGGAGAGAACCCACTCCCCTTCCTCTGACCTCCAATATACACTGTCAATGTGTGGCCATATGCATGTGTATAGACACATAAATAATAAAAAGTAATAAGTAATACAATGCAAACACTTGCTAAACACCTAAATTACATTATAAACCCAAGGATTCGAAACTGTGAAAAGAGGTGATGATCCTCTGTGAGCATGCACAGAGACAGTGTAAGTGACAGTCTGTCCTGATCATCTCCAATGGTGCACTCCTGCCTTGTCTCAACAAAACCTCACTGTGTCCCATTGAGTAAAACAGAGGCTCTTGTACAAAGTGATACCTGTGACTACCTTGATTTCTAAGCCTCAGGCAGATTCCCTCCATGTTACACCAACCTTGCCAGATATTAAAGCTCAAAGACATCTTAAAAGCTTAAAAGACTTTTTATCAAAAGAAAATGGGCACAATAGAGGGTTTTAGGGGTGAGTGGGGGCCATCCTTACAACTGTGAAACATCGGGCTTTGGTGGCTCTTCTGCTTGGCTGGCTAGATGGGCTTAGAGTGGCCTGAGACACAGTAGCAGAGTTGCTGGTGGCTGCTCCAAGCCCCTCTGTCTTACTCCTGTCCTAAAGCGCTTTGTTTAGATCTGTCCTCCTGGGGCCCAAAGGAATAGCCATAAGAACATCTCCCACCCTGACCCACCTCCTGTCCCAAAAAACTTTCTTAAAGACATCAAATCTAAGGGCATCTCCAGGGCTCTGTTAACAAAAGGTCCAGGCTGAGCTTCATAAACAAAGGCAGGGAAGTGACCTTGCAGAGGGCACAGGCCCCACCACAGCAGTCACAGCGCCACAGAGAACAGCCTTCAGCCTACCTTTTCTTTCCTTCCCTGGAGCAAGGCCATCATTACATGACTCTTCCCCGTGTCTCGAGGCAGCTTCCCCTTAGACCTTTCTCCTTGGCTCATTCACTTCCTGTCCATCTCAGAGACTCTCTGTCTTAGAGAAGGCCCGCTCTCTGGGCTTCCAGAGGTGTTCTGGAATGAATGGTCACACCTTTGACCCTCAGACAGAATGCCATTTGCTTGTCAAGGCGCGCTCTCATTTCACTGGCAAACAAGCTCCAGGCCTGGTGTCCCCTCCCTGAACGCCCCTCTCCAATCTGCTCCTGCCTTTACTGGCCACACTCAGGGGAAATGTCCCCTTCTCTCCATCACACAGGTCACCATCTCTGCCGGTACTTGCTGGAGCCTGTCACTCTCTTCCTCCTACCAAGAACTGCCATTAAATACAAACCCCACTAGGCTCTGAAACTTTCCCCGAGTGTGGCAACTTTACTTCCTGAAGTTATCCACAGAAGTGTGAGCAAGCATTCTGGTGGGAAGCTGTGCCCGGAGCCTGGTCCACTGGAGAGAACTAACTGCAGTGGTAGAAGACTGGAATGTTGTAGACCCAGGACCCATTAGCATACCATGGGCTAGCTTTGGCCTCCATGACAACCATCCTTGTCCCCTCTGTGTCAAAGCTAACTTCCTGGGACTAAGCAATAAGAACTTTTAACAATACGTTAAGGTATTAGTCTACTACCCTCCACTAATTCCAAAACTAAGAGTGCCATTAGATACGAGGCCTATGGAAAAGCTGCCTCATCTCTCTGTAAGCACCTCTCTGGTGTACCCATCCACGTATTTTAAACTTTCCTGACTTGTGCTTTTCTTGATTCTGTAAAACTATAAAACTTCACGGATCTGCTACCACATTGGAACATGGAATTTGGAGTGACCTAAATCTATGTACCAGAGCCACGTTTGCTCAAATTTAGAAACCATCGTTTCTTTCCCTTAAGGTGACAGCTATTGTTTCTGCGTCCACCAGCAGGGGAAGGGGAGGACCGGAGATGTTCCTAGTCGTTTCATTCTCCCAGTCTGCCTTATCCAGAGCAGCTCCACTGGGTTTTCAAGTAGAACACTGATACAGGTTCTCTTGCAACCACAGTTTCCACCCTAAAGAGCTTTCCCAGGCAAGGAAGGGGTTGCTGCAGGAA